TGATCAGACTGTCTGACTGAGAGATGGTGTGGTACCATCGGTTCATCTTCAAAGAGTAGGAGCATCATTATAAGTTCATTAAAGTTCATAAAGTTACATATTTTATTGTCAGTCACAAGGTGAGACACCTCCATGTGTTTATATGAACAGGTAACTAGAGACTGTAAAGTTCATATTTATTATGTTTTTTCATTTCAGCTTGAAAACTGCAGGACTACAGGAACTCAACAAAAGCTGGAGCTGCTCTGTCTGTGGCCTCTCAGGAACGTGCACGTCACACACCCACTCTCTCAGGAACGTGCACGTCACACACATAACCTCAGGAACGTGCACGTCACACACACACTCTCAGGAACGTGCACGTCACATACACAACCTCGGCCTAATGATGTATTTCTATTTTAAACTTTTATTTTTTCATTTATCCTTTATTTATACAGGTAGACTCATTGAGTTACGAGAACTCATTTTCAAGAGAGACCTGTTTAGGAGCAGATGGTGGGGGTTAAGAGCCTTGCTCAGGGGCCTAGAGTGGGGCCAATGAGGGTGGAGGCAGGTGTGGGTGTTTCACCTTTTCCACCCACATTTTGATCTTGACTGTACCGGGAGTTGAACCTGCAACTTTCTAATCACAGTTCCATCTTCTAACCTCTGCTCCACCACTCCCCCACATGACATATCATGATGGTCATGGCTGTATTAAAATCTCACTGGTTTTCTTCCAGATGTGTTAAACAGCTACTGGTCCCCCTGATGTTTCCAGGTGTCTGTGGTCAGTGGATGAAAAGACTGGCATGAACAAGATGATGCTGGAGATCATCATTTGACGAGAGCTCCCACCTTCTAACTGTGAAGAACAAGAGCAGCTCCCTCAAGGCTCAGTGAAGGAGCTGAGAGCTGCAGAGAGGCTGATCCATGGAGCTTCAACACAGCAACCTCCAAACATGTCCACCCTCACACACATCGTCCATGAAGACACTGGACCAGAGCAGGCAGCACAAGATAATAAGACGGTGATAACAACAACAATAGACATTCACAAATGATTCATACTTTTTTTTATTGTTTGTTTGTTTTACAATTGAAAAACAGTTTGTTATCCACTGTTGTCATCACTCTTTGTTAAAATCCAGGTCTCTCTTGTAAATGAGTCATTTGGCTCAGTGGGACTAACCTGTATCAATAAAGGTTGAATGAATATAAATATACACATAATGATTTATTCAACCCCCTCCCTGGACTGCCACCTTACCGCAAGTAAGAGAATGACAGATCCACTCTAAGATCTAACACAAAGTAGATTAAGTTAATCACCTTTATCCAAAATTAAGTTATACCTGGACATGGCCAGAATATATATATATATATATATATATATATATATATATATATATAGATA